TGAACAATTTTTTTTAATCACCAATATTGTTACACAAATCTCCTATTTTATTAACCAATAAAATTCATGAAGATCACGAGATGATCTACAAAATTTTAACCAATCACAGAGAAAGCCCGCTATGCTGTTTAAATTACGTAAATTTTAAAGATATAAATCATCAAAAACAAGACCAGATTGGACTGACATATACCAAACTGTTAACATCCTTAATGTACCGATTTAAATCACCACGATAAATATATTCTTGAGAATAGATTGCTTCAAGATCAGAAGTTATAAAGTATAACAGCTTTAATTTTTTCCAATCTATTTGTAATATAATACAAAGGTTTTTACTTTATATACACCTAAATCAAAATTATTGTAGCTTCTGAGTTTGGCAATTCCTTTTCATAGCAAATAAAATATGCAGTAATACGTTATGATACATTTAGTATTGACCAATCAAAATTAAAGTCCTCCATGCTTGATGATGCTGGTGCTTTGCACATCAAACCGGACATGTTTGCAAACCCCGAACCACACTCAAGTCATAAGTTCAGTTCCGGTTTGGGGTTGAAAATTATCAAAATTTCGAGTGTGTTTGACCAAACTCGAAGTGGACCAATACCTAGAAGCTCTGCCACAAATATCTAAATGCCTACACTAAATTTATTTAGTCTGGATTTGAAAATTTTACAAACTTCGAATCCACATTTTAAACAACTCTAATGAATTCCTTGGTTGATCATGTGGTATAAAATGCCCAGATTCAAAGACTTTAACAAACCATAAATTTTTAACTTTTCTGATCTCGCCAACTTTTACTCCACCCACTGTCCATTCTTGGAACACAGCGTTATTAAACTCTTTGCGACGCTTCCACTTCAATGATTCAGCCATTTCATTGCCACCCAACCTTTCAATAAATCATCATTTAAAAAAATTTTGTTAAAATAAAAATAAACAGTGTGGATGTTATATTACCAGTTGCAAATATAATCAGCATCTCCGGTGAAGAACATTATCGGCACATCATTGTCAAGAAGAAATTCTACTTGAGACATTGTGGAATGTATCCTAATTAAAAGGAAATAATCTTATGATTAAAAGTCAACACAATTATTAAATTATTCTTAAATAGCACATACAAGTCACCAGAATCTGTAAATCTAAAATAAATTGCTTCATTAAATTCTAAATATTTTGATATCGCAGTAGTATTAACGCCAATTGATTTTAAAACAATGGGGTTTTCCAAGTATTTTGTATACGTAGGGACTGGAAGGTCATTTTTTGTGCGAATATCATAAAGGCCAGCATCAGAGTTTTGAGTATATATCCCATTATAACCCTCCCAGCAAGTTATATTTGCAGCGACGCAATCATGTGTCGTGTTGGTTTGATAACATTTGTTAACTGTGTTAATTAAATAGGCAGTTATTTCTAAAGCTTGGTCGATAATTTATTATCAGACAGAAAACATACTAGTATATTGGCATAATGTCCATGTATCATGCATCGCCTCGATTAGCTGTGGACCTAATAAAGGTTTGTCTGCATATAAAGAAAAATGAGCATTAAAGAATCTATATAAATAAAGACTTCAAACTAAGATTTTTATACATGTATTATTCTCTGCAAAATTGATATAAGATCTCCTATAATGTCAAATATTAGCATTATATAATATCAGAAGTCTCTAAAATTAATGCAAATGTGAATAAAAAAACCTACATTTGAATAATAGGATCAACCCAAGCACTTCCAATCCCACAAGACTTTAAATTAATTGGTATTATATCTTTTATCTTGCCAGATTTGATAAGATTATTATTTTCTACAATAAGTTTAGCTATAATTGGAACTAAAAAAATAAAAAGGAATTAATAAATTATAATAGCTTATAGAGTAATTCACAGGTGACATACCATAATGACCACCATAAGATTCACTAAAAAGATGTAAATCCAAGGTTGCATACTTTGGAAACATTATAAAGAATCTTTGTAAGAATTCATATACATCCAAAGCTGCTTGTTCTGATGTATTCACCATACGTGTCCCATATGAAAATCCAGCACCAATTGGCTTTTAATTTAAGAACTTTTTATGAATAATTTTAATAATAAATTTCAAAATTATTATATTAAATATTAATAGTAAATTCAGACCTGATCAATAAACAGCAAATTTGTCACTTCATTCCAACTATTTGCAGTCAATCTGCTTTTGTTCATATTCCTTTTTACCTTGCATGGACCAACCTCTTGAAACAACGCAAACATTGAAGAATCACCAGGCCCACCACTAAGCCATATTGTTAATGGAGAATTTTTGGGATTTTTGCGAGATTCAAAAAACCAAAAAAACATATTTGCATCTAGTGCGATGTTTAAATATCCAGAGTACTATTTTGAATTTGCTAAATAAATAATTTAATTATTTAGAAAATGCCAAAATAATTATAATTTTGAGCAATACCTGTTTAACTCTTGGGTCACATAATTTACTTGAAACAATGTGGTCATTTAGGACTGTATTTAAAACATGAATATATTATGAAAATTTACAATTCAAATTTCATGAACAATTCTTTGCTTGCCTTACATGAAAATGTATCCGATACCGATGCTATATTATTTTCTTCAAGAAAGACCGTAGGTAGTAATAGGTCAGTGATTAAAATGAATAATATGAAAACCAGAATAAATTTGGATGAAAAAAAGGTTGAATATAACAAATATAATTTCTTAAGAATCATGATGAAATTTATTAAGATGCTAAAACGAACACCTAAGAATACTATAGTAAATTACATTAAAGGTTCAATATATCATTATGATGCCGTCAAAGGTGTTTGAAAAAGAAAAGGTATCGTTAGCATTATATACAAAAAAGAATGTCAAAAAAAAAACGATCGCACAAATTACGTTACTCGGATAAAAAAGGGAAGAATAAAAGGGGAGTCCCCTCATCTAGTGTTGTACATTTTGAACGTCCATCTATGTCAAACCATGTCAAACATGTCAATAGTGATTTTGGCCGATCAAAATTTTTCGGCTATGACTAAACCGATAAATTTACCAGCTTAGCCGATTTTAAAATTACACTCATATTTTAGGTTCAACCTCGAATGCTACAATCCAGTAATAAAATCGATCAGCCGATTTTAAAAAAATCGTCCGGCTTAGCCGATAATTTGCTTTTAGCCGATTTTTTCACTATCGGCCATGTCAAACCTGTCCCAGCTCTTATGGATTAATACAGAAACAGGCTATGTACGTACGTACGTGAGTATGTAAAACACATAACATAACGAAAGCTATCGCTACACTAATATTTTGATACGTAAAGTTTATTTTACTAAAATAACCGGAAGTATCCAATGCCTAACACTGTTCTGAATGTACCTCTATCATTCAGTGTTGACCTATGACTGTTATTGACCTACACTGTATTTGGTAATTACCTACCTTTTATGTAACTTAAAAATTTGCTATATCTATTATGACCACTTTGGTCATATAACGATAAAGTTGGATATAATCTAAAATGCTAAAATGGCAATTATCGTTATTGTTATAGAGAAGATATCTAACAGAAAATCGGATAAACAGAATAATTAAATGGTATCGGTATTTTATTGTAAACTAAGTTGATGACTTGTAAGGCATATTATAACTTACATTTGATTGATAGTATGAAATGGCTGGTATAAGCTTAGAAATTTGTGTGGTATTTATAATAAACTAAGTTGCATGTCATAACTTGCATGATTGATAGATAGTGTATGAAATGGTTTGGGCTAAGCTCAGAAATTTGTGGTCTGGCCGAGCTTTTGCAATATTAAACATGTAGGTTGGGCTTAGAGGCATAAACCGATTTCGCCAACAGCTATTTCACTTAAGGTCACATCTGAAATGTGTGACAAGTTTGTGGCGCAAACAAATTCTTTGAAGCTCAATGTTTATGTTAAAGTTAAACTACATAGTAATTAAAGCACTCAAGGTTTTTATGTTTTTTACGTGAATTTTAATAGATATGTTTGACAAAATAGATATTTATTTTGAATTTTTCTGATCGTTTTACACTACACCTGATTTTGAAACGTAATTCGCATTTCAACGTGGTTTACTACAAAATTCTGATACTCAAAATCTCGATGCTTAAATCCCAGCATTCAAAATCTTAGTATTATCAAAATTCTGATTATATATAGTTATTTGGCAAGCACTATTATATAGATAATATTAAAATCTCCATATTCAAAATCCTGATACTAACAAAATCCTGATATTAACAAAATTTTATTATTGCCAAAATTTTAATATTAATACAGTCAAACCTTTTTAAATACACTTTTTGGATGTTCTATAGAATAGGTGGGCAATATAAGAAATATGCTTCGCTAATGATTAGTAATCATTAATTTTTTAATATCGGAGTTGCGGAGTTTGTGGAGTTTGCTCACCTATTCTATAAAACATACATTTTTTTTAAATATATTCTCTATAAAAAGCTTTTTTAAATATATGCCTTCATTCGGATCTAAGCTAATATTATTATTTTTATTTTTATTTTTAAATTTAGTTTTTTTTTTGGTGTTCAGGTGGGATCTTGCCTATGACTTCATTTATTGTTAATACTTTCATTACATATATTACTACATTTTTATATTTACATATATCAAGTACACCAAGCTCAGACC